GTATTAGAACAAGCCGGTATCAATCTAGATGTCAGAAAATTTCCTATCCACATTACATCTAATCTGCAGAAAGTCTCCACGAATTCGCGTTTGAACAGCAAGTGTTTCAAGAGTAATAAATCAATTTGAATGAAATCCCTGGAGGAAAAAGCCAACTGCATTGATCTATCATTCACAAATGAATACGTTGGTTAGTTTAAAAACAGTATACTGTTCGGTTTGAAGCGATGTGAGATGAAACACAACCGAAAACAATGTAAGTATTGGTACAGTACAGTGAAAACTAATTGACCTCCGATGTTTGCAAAAATGGCAATGATATACTCTGACCACGTTGGATTACTGTCTAGCAACGGGAACGGGGAGAGCCGTCGGATAGTTCATCGGTTTTGATTTGTATTTTAATATTGATATATTGTATTCGTATGGGACAAGAATTTGCATATGAACATAAGCCATGAATTTCTGATCAATCGGCGTGTTGTTGTAAATCGTTTTGTAGATCAGAACCTAGGGGATACCAAAACTAAAGAATTAAGAAAGCTCCCGAAAACGTATGGAAGGCAATACGGTTACATGCTGCAACATGCCTTTGTAAGGGGGTAGTAAATAGAAGATTCCGCCTTTCAAGGGGAGTGTGATATCGACGATCAATGTCGTAAGGGGTTATGAACTCAATTGTGCCCCCACCTAAACTGTATCGTCAGAAATTCCGGACCGCAACTTAGTTTGTTTCAAATATTATTGATGTCTACGTGATGTAACGCATATGTGAGGAAAACCTAATTCACATGTGGAGAGCAATGAGCACCAGATGAAAAACCCGGGATGCGGACATCGATTCGTAAAATGGAAACGAATTTAGGCAAAATGTCATGGGTCATCAATAAAGAGTTGAGAAGAGAAATCCTCATTGAGAAAAAGATTCCCACTAACTTAGAGTCTGCAAACGCCTTTATACTTGGTCGTCTATGCAGTTATTCATATGTTACGAGTAACAAATCACTCGTACTGTGAACCAACTAATTTGGTTTTGAGCTAGTATGTAAAAGAATCATGTGGAAAAGCTCCAAACTGTATTCCGAAATTTGATGACCCTTTAAATGAATAACTTTGCAGTGTAAATATCAAACAAGACTTTTGTAATTTTATATGCAATTGCCACAGGTAAATAAGTTGAAAACCTATAAGCAAACGACTTTTGGTTAAATGAAATCTCGCGTTAGTCTCACATCAAGCAAACACAGTACCAGTGCACATGTCCACGAGGTGCTTGTCCGGTGTTAAAGGTACGTTAATAATTATCTAAATGGAAACTTGTACAGATCCCACTTCTACGGCCTGACTTTCCCTTTTTTGTGCACTTGTGTTAGCCCTCTTTTCGACCGCTTCCGTCTTCCTGAAAATCGTATCATTGTATATTCAATAACAATAAGCGAGCATGGAAAAAGGCATTTGAACCACCGCGAGAAATCGGTCGCTCCAGATATTTTGTACCATATTATGAAAGGCAAAACTCATACCTTTCGTGAACCACNACCACCACCACCACCACCATTCCCCGCTATCCAACGCGAATTTTTCATTAAAAACAACCGGAATTGACAACATTCATCCTCATTGTCTTGTATGGTTGTTACTCGACTGAAACGATTAACAGATCTACACTATTTGGTTTCTTCGCGTCATGCTGTCCCATTTTAGCCGTTGAAAATCGTCCAACGTGTTCTAGCCCGTCCTACTTGATTCTTTATGAGCCATGTTCGGTCAGCTCTACACCCCTCCCACACGCACAAATACAAACATCATTGTAGAGTTTACGCATTGCTTTGCTCAGGCCTCATTGGAACTGCGGTGCTGGACATTGCACTCATCATCTGCTTTGATTGTACAATTTCTGCTTTGACATGTCCACAATTATAGTTGAAGCCAGTTCGTTGCACCGCAGGTGAGATGATACTTGGGTTATATATGTGGTTAGTACACAAGCAATTCTTTTTGACCAATATCGGACTTATAGTTATTATCTACCCATCACTGAATTAGCAGACAATGGTGCAGCACACCAGGAATGCGAAGAGAGTTTCATGTCAGATATAAAGAACCCAGATNAGATGGTGATGATGATGATGAATAAATTGAGAAGCAACCGATAAGAGGTTGTCTGTGAATACAAATTCCGCAGGAGGTTGCGGCTCAGATTGGAAATTTAATATGAGGAAAGCTGTTGGACCAATCTAAACACAGGTGTTCGCATTACACGAGGTTAAACTGCATATCCGAGTCAGACGTGGCAATTCCGATTGTTATTGCTTCATTTTTGCTTCGACCCTTCTAGCTTGAATGCTTGTCAGATACCTGGCACTTACATCGCAAAGAAGGATCAATATTGTCGTCTTCCAAGTGATTGTATATGATTAGACTTTTGGTTGTCTTCACAATCTCCGACCGGAACGAGCGTTGGAAAATGCTTGGCTATGCAAATAAAAGTATGCTTCACTGAAATCCCATTGAAACGAGCTCCATTTATATGCATGTGAGGATGGAAATAGTCGTGGTTACCTTGGATAAATTATATCGTTGTCACAATCCTCCCTTAAGATCCAGTATACGCAATCAGTTGCATATTATTTGATATCATTAGACCCCTAAGAAATCTGTGAACTATGCTTAAATGCTTAGTTCATAGTCGCTCCTTCTTCTATTCAGCGATTAGTGTCTCTAGAATGCGGATATTGTTATACATTCAGCAAGCTCCTTTTGTGAAGTGGCCACTTCACAAGCACTGATGAGGTCACCTCGGCTGGTGATAAAACGTTTGCAAACAAATTGCCAAGCTCGGGGAACAGGTTGAATAGATCTCAAACTCTTGGGAACAGAACTTGCGGTTAGTACCGGTGTGTCACTCAATCACTACAGATGATCCAGCCTAATTACCGAGCCTCGATTTCCTCGACTCGGAGGCAGATAAGTGGGTATTCCTGTCCGGTATCAACTTTGTGCTACCCCACTCCCAACGGGCAGCCAGATTACTCTTCATTTCCTCTGGTAGACGTTCTCAAAACTGGAGTATAACTGACAAATATCCCCGTCATTGTGCAGTATAATATGAAAGGTATTTGTGGACTGTTTACCTACAGGCTAATCACTAACTAGTCTCGGTGCACTTTTAGCTTCTACTCACCAGTTGCCAGCATCGTCCGCAAACGCGACCAGCCTATTATCGCCTGTTTGCTGCAGCTTTTCGTGCAAGGTATGAGGTAAAGTAAGTTCTGTTCTAATACCACCGTAGTTCGAGGCAGCAGATAAAGAATGGGAACCGGGTAAACGTGCGATGCATTCGGTAGGCGACAGTCACGTGTATTGATTGAAGCTTAAATTTAATCTCTCATGAATCAGCAGCCCTGATGTAGAAAAAGCGGAAAATGGTGTTCACTCGGCATTATTATGCTATTTTTTGGCGTCTCAATCTGCATTGCTTTCGGTTGTATACAAGCAACAAAACAAAACTTTAATAATCTGAGCAGCTTTTATCTACAACATCCACGGACAGAAAACCTCATGACCGTCTTCAGAAATGAAGCTTTTGATTCTGAGGAATATGAGACTCACCTATTTTATTTACTAATGTCAAATGCCCACATACGCCTGGTCGAGAAGGAATTTGCCGCGAGGCTTGCTGGTCGTTCCAAGGATAGAATATTGCACAACCCCAGTTAACTTTCGTCATAAAGTGATATTAGATAACTGAGTGTTAATTTCTAGACTTTATGGGGCTGTATGTTTAGCGTATGAAGTCCAGGCATGTTTAGTCAGAACCTAAACAATGTAGACAAACTGATATGTCTTCCGTGTTGGTAAGTCGTTTCAGAATAAAAGCAATTCCGTCACTAAGTTGTGAATTCTTGCGTTCATGTGTGCATATGAACTACACACATCGACCGAATGTTCCCGGTGGTCGATAATAACTTATTTCGGGCCACTCAGGGCGAAGCAAGTGTGTTGCCAACACTGAGGTTATCCGTCGTTCGTTATTGTGACGGATTTGGATAGGTAAACTTATACCAGTGGCATACATATTGCACTGGTTTAGCAATCAATCATCTCTATTCCACTGGTCTTCTCAGCGATTCTTAACCCGAAGGGAATAAAATCAGGCACTAAATATTCCGTGTTAAGGGAAGTAGAGAAAGAATGAGTAAAATTGGTGCATCTACTCTTTCAAGCTGGGCTGAAAACATTCTGAGAATGATTGGTGGGGAAAAACGGAAGCAAATGGCAGCAAATAGACAGGAGTGGCATTCTGTTTAATTAGTCTGTTTAAAAATGTGAGGATGCCAAGTCAGAATGTTTATTTAAAATACTATCTACAGAGGCCACCCCTTTACAACAGGACAACTTCTCGTCAGAATCGGCGTACAAACTCATTTCGATGTACAAATTTGAATTTGTGAAGATTAGAAAAGTTCGCTCAATCGTGACTCGCCCCCAAAGTTGATGGGGCGAGAAACCAGAGAATCGTTAGGCACAGTTTTGACGAACGATGAGAAAAAGTGGTCTATCAGTTATCCGTGTTCATCGACCGCCGCTGGATGTCAGCTTAAAATAAGAAATTTGTCTGAACAAAAGACCAAGCTATCTGAAAAGCTCAACTTGCATCGTATAGAAGTCGAAAATTGTATAAAAGTTTCACGATTGATAGCAAATGAGCACAGAGTCGGGCAAGCAAGCTTGTGTTCGGTAACTCACGGACGAGATGAATAAAACGTTTCTCGGTTAACCAAACCGAGGGTGAAAGAAGAGGCCAAATTAAAGAAACATTACACTCGAAGTGAGAACCTCAAGAAAAACAAGCAGGTTCATTTCGAATCTGTAAGCAGAACGAATCACATGCCCATTCAACATTCGAGGTGGCTTAAAAACGAAGAGTAAACACGTAATCTCGGGGGGGGATTATGTGTAGATAACGCAGTCACAGTCCGAGTAGGATCAATGTGGAGTCACCAGTCTGGTCGACCAAATCGAACCCAACTTTCGTTAGTCGTTTCCAGACTTTTCGGTAATAAGGTGTCCACAAACAGGGACAGCCAGCATTCATTTGTGTCGCGGTTGAAATAGATGGACCGACACTCCAAAATCTGTTTGCATCTAAATAAAAAACGAAGCAGGTATTTAAATTAATGATGAAATAGGGATTCTTCGTTCGTATGAATCCCGATGACTTCCCATTATAAAAGAACATTTTACTAAACTTCACTAAAATTACCGCATTGTGATGCATGCAAAACGTGAACAGTGCAGTTAATATTGGTGGTGTAATTGTGTGACTCGCGTGCTATGAATACTTAGAGTCAAAGAGTATTGTTATACGTTTTGTATATAGTAGCAACGACGCATGGCCTTGGTAACATGTAAAGTGCTGTACGTTGGTAAAATAACGGACCATTAGAGGGGGGCGGGCTAATTAAAAACAGATAGAACAGCATTTCCCTATCCATGTTGTTGATGACATCAATGTAGTTGAAAGCAGCATTTTTGTTTTTTCTCACAAAAAGGGAAAATAAAATATTAATGGAAAAGACAGCAAGTGAGTATAGGTTACCACAGAAAGTGAGTTTACGGGTCTCAAGCAGAACTTCATCAAGAACCATTACAAGAAAAACTAAAGCAAATGCACTTGAAAGAGACATTCAGCTGTTTTTCTTCAACAGTTGGGTACACCGTCCAACAGTTAATTACACACCAATTAAAAGGTTTATTATATATATGGGCTTTATTCCCCAAAACCCCTTTAAGAGATGCCCGTTTTATTTACACTTAAACTCAGTTAAAACAGTGGTTAAAGAGAAGTTGCTCTTACATAATCTTGGAACTGGCACAAACCAAATATACGGAATCATCAAGACGGAGGGTTGAGCGTTAGAATACTCGGACGAATTAACATCCTCCAAACCTGTCATACCGTCATAAGTATCCGCATCCTATTAGCAAAACAAAACAGTTTGATACCATTATTCAATATTATATATATATAGAGGCATTGATAAAATTCGTGCAGCACCATCAATTTCATCATATTTTTAACTTCAAACGCTTAGTGTTTTGAACCTCATTGTCCCACATCAGTCGAAACATATCTACATCAAAATCCACTCACGTTTTTGATTCTAGTCATCCAATGCCATTTAAATTCACAAGTTCCAAAAACGTTGACTACGGTTGCTCGTGCATCAGTTGTAAAATAACAAAGTCTCAGTTAAAAAATATCATAGGAGTTCCTTTTCTGAAAATGAAGGAAACTAGTATATCACTTTAATTTCCTAATGTTCTATTTATCCTATTCTATTTTGGAGTTTTTTGCATGCAGTCCACTAAAATGACTGTCAAACGGCATTTGCCAACTACCTCTTATACACGCCACACCTTGGCCACTGATGACCACTGTCGAGAAAGCTCATTTATCCCGGTTTCTAAAACAGGTAAAAGTTATTGATCACATTTGAATCACAAGTGCAGGATGGCAATTTGATGAATTCTACATTGAACTTTACCCATGCTGAAAGTACATAAATGCGAAAAAATACAAATGTTAATGAGGTCTAACCGTTTTCCATGACCAACCTTGAGCGCGAAAAATATACCGGAGAAAAATACAAATTCTGTGAATTAATTTTGAGAGTGACAGTGATCAAAAACCTGCCTCGGCAGTGGAAACAAATTTTGTGATATACAGAGCGGCATGTAAAGGAAACCTTTTAACTGGAAACTGAAGAGTACTCTCGAAGTGGGAGTCACGTTGCGCGAGTTCGATCAATACCTGCACTGGTGATTTAGTTGGTTCGGAGCATTTGAGTAAAATGGCAGTTCTAAAGAGTATAATTCCACATACTCGATGGAATTCAGAATCGCCAATTCGGTACCAACTGTGTCATGTGTTGATGAATAAAATATATTGCAGAGAGTGTAAAATGAAGAAAAGGAAAAGATTTGGATATGGCATTGTTGAAATATAAACGGGTGTGAGATTAAAGCTGAACAGCTAAAATTGAAACCGACCAAATTGATATTACTTATTTACCAACAGTGACTTCCTGATCTCACGTGGTGGTTGCAAATTTTACCCGATGCTCAGGTCATTTCTACTGGCTTCCTTTGAACTGAACACCGCGGAAAGAGGCCCAAAGCAGTTGACGTGATATTATTTCACATTTATTATCATATTTTATTTTTGAAAAGAGTTTGGAATTTTAATTTCATGTTTGGATTTTTTCTCAATCACTCAATTTACTTACACCGCAGATCAAAAGTTGTGTTTTACCCAAAAATGCAAATACGTTGAACACCTCCTAGGGGTGAAGGAGTTAAAAATCTATGTATCAATGTCTGTTTGTTGAACTAAACCGTTTTCCATGGTTATTTAGTCTTCGCTTGTAGCTTTCAGTTCGTGCTTATGGTGTGTTCTTTTTAGCCCTCTTCTATGTTTTTATGGTTGGTTTTAAACTGCTTACTGATTAACTCAAAGTCATATCCCCAAAACAATAATGCATTTTCGTCCCATCAGAAATTAAATTTCGAAAATGATCCGACAAAAATTGGTGTGAAAAACAGTTCAAACAGAGCACACTGATCATTGTGGCAAAGACCGTAACAAGGAACAAATCTAGTTTAAAAACAGAATCACTGCGGCGGAGTGGGTCCACATATGCGTTTACGCTAGGAATGGGACCCGAATTAAGCCGGAGGATCAGGAATGCACCGTGTTAATACTTCGAGTGCTTATGAGTTAGCAGTGGATGACTTAAATTACATTCCGCAAACCACATCTAAACTACGGTCTTCTTTTTGACGTCACAAGTGTCAGTCCAACGTTTTGGCTGACTTGTAACATTCTTACATCCCGAGCAATTGCAAGCCACATTCAGCGAAACAGTGAACACCTGGTTACAACACTACCACGTTTTTTTTAATTTTCCTTCTGAAGATTTATCTAGAAAGCATATTAATAAGACCCCCATGTCTCGCCGCGGCCTGAGTTTAGCTGAAGTTATTACAATATTTGCCATGAGAATCGCGGGAAACCACTTCGGATCAACAATGTGACAGGCATCCTCTAGCAGTGGCTATCGGTGACTCTTTTGTTATGTCCGTTTAAAGGCCTCTTTTAACATATTCTTCCTGCACTTACTTAAACAATTCTTTAATTATCACCTGCGAACTTACTAGAAAATTATATTATTACTACTACTGATCTGAAGAAACAGCTATTATACGGTGGTAGAAGTAGCGGATCAAAAGATTGAGCAAAAGGTTGTTCGAATCAGCACACCTATGTCTATAGACCCATGGTTGAAGATAAAAAACCGGTCTCCATTGTCCATTGATATCGTGGAACATTTTTGAAGAGACCCGTCGATACGCGAGATAAAGTCTACGGTAAACTGCATTCGTAAAACTTTGAAGAAAACCGTTGAAAAGCGATCAATTCGATGCTGAACGACTTTTTTGATACAGTATCCCACTAACTGAAATGTACATTTAGAAGTCTTATGGGTTGTTTCCGATTGTTGGTTGTTTTGCCAAGTTCAAAACACCTCTGTTTTGGATGGGATAAAATTACAGTCCGCTGAACTGTTGGTTGGAACGAAAGGACATACAGTTGCAACTGAATGCTAAAACACTATGGAAAACACTGTTTAGTGACCTTGAACAAATCAAGTTACCATTAAGGTTGATTTCTTGCAAAGATTTCACAGAAACTAAGCCCGTAATGCTCTTATTCCATTTCAGTGTAGTCACGGATTGCGTGGTCACCAATGCCCACTTCAAGTCGATGCTGAGGCCCGCTCGGTGAACTCGGAAATTGCCAAATTTTTGAACTGCTTTATAATCGCGTGATACGATTTCGCGCGGTTCTCATTTGATTTCACATAACCTCAAATGTGAACTGTCTTTTTGGCGAGCAACTTTCAATTTAGTCTTGTGAGTAGCGAACAGATCAATATCACGTTTTAATCTGAATGGCATTATTGCGTACTATGGGTGCCCATCAGTAAAATTCTACTAATAATAATTTTTCAATGACTATCATGAGTAATTTTATTGCATATGATTTTTGTCAATTATTTGTGCAACCATCACCCCTCCTTCATTGTATAATAATGAAATAGAAGTGAATAATATGCAACGGAAACCCTGAAAAATTCACACATCTGGTGATTTGCACTTTTGTTCAGACCCAACAAAGCCGGAAATGCCGGAAATCAGGTTTCTGTATTTATGTAAATGCATACAACGCTAAGGGTAGAGCTGAATAAAACCGACTCACCTTTTTGCACACTCAATCACGGTTGTACATTGGACAGTCTGAAAACAACCTTCATTGTTTATATCGGAAAAAAAGAAACTGGACAACGGTTCAGGAAACTGTGCATCAAATCGCTCAGCTCTTGGATCAATCTCTAAACTGCTCCCGGGACCGGCCCATTCGCAAGCAGCCGCGCCCGTTATCCTGTTCTGAGCATAATCATGCAATTTCTGATAACTGACCACTGCAACACGTTCGTTCAGTGAATTTGGCTGATTCTGGTACCAAGGCATATTCGAAGTGTTTGTGGTAACGTAACCGGCCTGGCGGGGTACACCTGCAGCCCATCCAATTCGTTGATTATGCTTACGAATAAGCAACGTATTCAGACTGGTGTGTGCCACCTTAGGAAATCCTTGTGTGATGAGAAATTGGCTGACGTTCGGTCCTGCTACGAACAATCGCAGTCCCAGTTTCACTCCTCTATCGCGGCACTGTTTGTGGGCATCACAGTACCAATATCGCTCTGTGAATATGAGTCCACAAACAACATCCGAGTAGCTGATGAGCCCAGTCGGGCATAGGATTTCGCTGTTCCCGACAATCACCAAAATCGTCAGTTCAAAGCCAAGACGGAACATGACTAGATTGATCAGCCACGACATGAGATGCACAGAACTGTAACGGAAATAAAATGTTATCCAGGCAAACGGTCCGTCAGGATGAACAATATTCCAATTGGTTTGCTTAATTCCTTGTTACTGATTGGACAATACGGATTGCTACAGTTTACTCGGTGGTTAGATAGTCCACTTAGTTGTGACTAATATACCTACAAATTCACACATTATCATTGGGCTTTGTATGAAGCTGCAGGTTGCGATTTAGTCCGTACACTATGGTTTGTTTCGGAGGAGCTTCGGGGGGCCTGATCCATTTGGGTTACGAATCGATGATACCAATACCGGTTCAAGCCTTGTCAAATAGCAAATTATTAGATTTATTAGATTCAAAATCCTACTACCTTCCCCATATGGTAGTGTTGTCTCTTGATCGATAAACGTTTTGGAATGCATTTGGTTGGGTCCAACTCTAGATTTATCTCAATTCCAACAGTTGGTTATTGCAAATCTCTTACAGACTTTATTGGTCCAGTTATTCTGACGCTGTGTATTTATTACAGTTGTTGTTCTATCAGTGCATTTTATCCACGGATACTAGTGAATTTGTAAATGGTAGTTAAATTGACTGAGCGTGACAGGAGTCTCCTCCCCCTGGCACCCAGACACAATGAATTTCTTCCAGAAACGTAGCCCGAAAGCTGAATTTCCCCATTATGTATTGTATGGTAGCCCTTTGATGGGCCGCTTTTCCCTTCGTAAAAATTGTATCTATGTATACTCAAAAAAGAGAGTAAAATGAAAGAGAAAAAAATGAAAATTATGTTGATTGTGAACGATAGGTTTTCCTTCACGGCAAGCAAAATCCCATTCACGTTAAATCACAAAACACATTCATGCAACGACTGTTGCCTGTATATATGGGTACAATTTGACTACCGTTATTCTACCGATGTCGTTCATCAGCAGTCCTGTTTGGTCATTCATCTCTGTAAAACGTTCTTTGCGTAACGAGTTTGGAGTACGAATAGTGAAAACGCTGCCTCGCTGTCCCTCTGTAGTCCGAAGTCTCGCCCAACAGCATACACAAAGTGTACCTTTTATGCTAATGGAGAAAATGGTTTATCTTAAATGAACGGGTATGGTGGGAGACTTAGCTTCCTTATTTGAAGACAAAAAAGAACATCGTCTTTTTTGTATTGTTGGTATACGCGTTGAGGGTTGATATGAAATTACAATGAACTCACCGAATGTTACAACTGCTTCACTTGAACAATCATGATTCATTTCTGACAGAATATCTCAGTA